CCCACAAATAACCCAGAGATACCTTTTAAATAAAAGGGCCCATTCTACTCATGTAAAAACACACTGATTCCTGGACCGTCCGTGGGCCAGATTTAGAAGGCGATTGGGCCAGATCCGGCCCCCGGGCTTTAGTTTGCCCACCCCTGGATTAGAGCATCAAGCACTGAGTTTCGGCAGTCTAGGGCTCTGTATGTGCTTCTATGTACACGTGCAGCCCCTGAACATGTGGGTTTTGCCAATTACTTCAAGTAACAGAACAGCTCTGTGTGGAGCTACCCCATCCATGGAACAGAGAGGGTATACACTCATGGAAGCTTTTGACAGCAAATTAATGAATCATCGGGGCAACAGTGGAACCTCCCTAATTATAAAGGCCAGAAGCAGATTTCACCTCCCCAAGTTCAACTAAGAAAAAGAAACCTCCCTTGGCAAAGTTCATTCTTGCTTCACTTTAAACTTGCAGAAAGTTTAAAGATCAAGCTCCACATAGCCCATGGCATGCTTCAAGGTCACAAGCAAAATAGCCCAGAAAAGTTAAAGGGCTTGTTTTACATGCCCATTGTACTATAACTCAGAACACTGGGAAAGACTTGCTGTATTAAGATGATACATTAGTAGAAGGTAAAGGACAAGGGTGGCGCTGTGGTCTAAACCACTGAGTCTCTTGGACTTGCCGATCAGAAGGTTGGCGGTTCCAATCCCCGTGACAGAGTGAGCTCCTGTTGCTCTGTCCCAGCTCCTGCCAACCTAGCAGTTTGGAAGCACGCCAGTGCAAGTAGATAAATAGGTAACGCTGCGGTGGGAAGGTAAACGGCGTTTCCGTGCGCTCTGGCACTTGTCATGGTATTACGTTGCGCCAGAAGCGGTTTAGTCATGCTGGCCACATGACGTGGAAAGCTGCCTGTGGACAAACGCCGGCTCCCTCGGCCTGAAAGCGAGATGAGCGCTGCAACCCCATAGTCGCCTTTGGCTGGATTTAACTGTCCAGGGGTCCTTTACCTTTACCTTACATAAGTAAAAGCCAAGTTCATACTGCATCTCTATGCTCAGAAAAATCACTGGCTAAATATGGCTCCTGGGACAGCAGTTTTGTTTGCACTTTCCTAGCAACTGTTCATGTCTCCATGGAGTGGCCTACAATAAGCTTACAATAAAGAAGCACTTAAAAAAAAAAAGGATTTAGAGTAATGCCAGCATAAAGTACCCTTTGTAAGTTTTCATGATATACTCCTTAGTGAACTGTCAGGTTACATATAAAAATAGAATATTAAATATAATTTTTGCTGTGTGGATTTCCATAAATTGTTCCAGTGCTTTGATTATGGCTGGGGGTTCTTATTCATATCTGCATTTCAAACAATGCAACTGAGAACATAATCATATGCTTTGCTGTAACTATTGTACTTAACAGATAGGCAGTACTTAGTTCTGCTTGTTTTAATTATGGTATCTGTTGTTAATTTCTCCTTGTAGCTGCATGCATTTCTCTGACAATTTATTTTCTCACAATACTAATTATTATGTTTTAAATGAATTAATTTTTGTTGTGCTAGGCCTAATTCATAGTAACCGTGTCACGTTTGTGTCTATCCGACATCCCCAAAGGACCCCCCTATTTTTTATATCATACTTTATGAAGTACATACAATTAACTGTGTGCTAAACATATGCAATTAAATGCCAAAAAACCCCTGAAAGCCCTGAATTAATCCAGTGCATCTAATTTCCACATTACCTCACCCCTCTCTTCCTCTGATTATAGCTGCGAAAATCTCCAGAGTTCTCATGAAGGGTTAGGAGGAAAAAAAATGATAGGTAATTATCGATAATAACATTTTGCTCCATTTCAGATTTTACTTTTGCACAGTGACATCTTGTGGGCTGTAATGGAATCTCCCATAAAACAGTGAGCATAGAGATAGGAGTACAGTACTGTCAAACTTCTAGGGAGTCAAATACTAAGGGTACAAGTCATCATTGTAGCATACAGGTACCTTTGTTAGACGTGGTCCAGCAAAACCAGAGTCATTGGATGAGAAAGGAATCTTTGGCATGCAGGTAAAGATCCACAGCTTTCCATCCCTGCTTCTAATGCTTCCCATTCTTTAATCCTCAATTATTATTTTTACAGGACTTAACTTGAAATGTCTTATAGAGCCAAATTCCAAGAGAACATATCTTCCTTAAAGCAGAAAGCTTGCACATAGGCAGAAAGCCCAAGAAAATAACTGAGTTATTGTGTTTAAAAGAATTTAATGGCAACAGAAAAGAAGCAAACACACAGTTAACCCACTATTAGGGAACTGATGTTTCAATAGTCTTCTAATGAAACCACACCATAGATCTGTTCTACAAAGGGAATTTTGTTAATGATATCTAGGGTCAGTATGTAAGTTCTACACAGTTTTTTTAAAAAATAAATTAAAACTGTATTTGGGGACAAAGCACAATGCAGATCTACCTATTTTGTATACTCCACTCTGTCTCTTAGGTTTAGGGTGGATTTTTTTAAAAAAAATCTTATTCTTATTGGCAGCCTGGATAATTTTATTCCCATTTTACAAATGAGATTGGACCAAGCTTGAGAGAGAATGGCTGGCTGGAACTCTGTCACTTAGCTGTGATTTCAATACAAAGAAGTTTGTAAGGCCCAATATAAGATTTCCAGAATGTGAAACACACAAAGCTAATAAAGTAATCCCTCTTAATGGCAGGAGAAATTTAGCAAGAGAGTAAGCACATTTCCTCCCTCAAAGAATTATGTTGCCCAGTGTGGAAGGCACCTAGATGCCACCCCTCTGCAGGCTGAAAGGAGCAGTAGTATGCATTTGGTCAGAGAAAGAGAAAATAGTTTTGTGTTTGCAGCTGGCCAGAAAATATGACTCGGACATTTCTGGCTTGACTTTTATGATCTTTGGGTGCTGGACTGATGATACGGGGAGCCAGCAGTGCCTGCAACCTGTGCCTTCTTGCATCCTTCCTGCTTCAGCCCGTATATTTGTAAATAAACATGTATTACAAAAGCACCACATACCCAGTATTATGTCGCTTCACAAGGAAAGTGATCCCGTAATGCTACCCTGGAACATCCTACTGCTTGGGGAAAAGGGGAGAATGAAACAATACGATATGCTTGCCAGTAGCCCAACGAATAAGCTTTCTTCCCAGTTATTTCCCTATTGCCATATAAAATATTCTCAGCTTGGCTGTTCCCTGCTGACATACTGACAAATAACTGGTGTCGTTAATAGAGTTCTGAGTCCATATGGAAGAGAAGCAATGTCCCAGGCCTCTCGGCAAAGCCAAAACAGTGAAGCCAATTGCCTTTGTCGGCATTTAATGTCCAACTTTTTAGTTAATCTTTAACAGCTTAAAATGTTCAGGTGGAGGAAAGTGACACTGTCAGATTTGGGGTGGCAGCAGTGATATTTGTGAATACTATAGGTTCCCTTTTCTCTTGAGCTTCTTTAAACTAGACTAGCTCTATTACCTGGCAGAAACCAACTGAGCACAGCTACACTTCAGCCCAAGGCTTAAAGTCATTTCGAGAAAATCCACAAAAAATAGGAACAGTAACTTCAATCTGTGGTAGTCCGCACAGTTCAGATAAACAAAGTAATGAAAGTATAGTCAACATACTCAAAGTGGTGTAGTGGGTAGTGGGGGAACTGGGCGAAAATCCTCACTCGGCCAGGAAGATCCCTGGGTTCTGCTTAACCTATCTCACGAAGATTATTATTAGGATAATAACAAACTGGGGTATGGGAAACAAACTGTATGGATAAGAGATATTGGATCTATCAAATGGGAAATACAATTTTAAACAATGAAACAACTTTCAGTGATCCTGCTACTTTTAAGATAAGTTGAATTTTAAACTCAGGCATTGCTACAGGGACTGTTTAAAAGTTGGCACCTCTCATGTAGAACTATATATAACAAAGAAGCCATGATTGCCCCTGAAAATGATATCCCTGTGTTTCAGTTCCCTTTCCTTCCACAATGTTTACTGCAGCCTCCCATAACCTGTTGACCTCCAGCCCCATCCAGCATAAGGTCAATGGTCAAATAATGGAAGTTACCAGGTTGGGTACAACGTGCCTTGATTTGCAGGAGGAGGGTGACAATTGCTGTTCCACCTTAGGCTGCAAAATATCTTGCACAGGCCTTGAAGTTTGAAGATTCATGGAACAGATGGGTAAGAGTTATTATACATGGTGTAGTTATCTTTAAAGGTTCTGACAGAGATTCATTTTCATAAAACAAGGAAGACTAACCCCCAGTTTGGGGGGGGGGTGTTCATTTGTTCCCCAAGCAAGTTTTTCCGCTTCCTCAAAGATCCCATCAATTTTGCTGGCAGCAGCACCTTTTTTAAAAAAGTAGACACACAACACTGGGGTGGGCAAAGTCCAGTGTCTTGTTGGGGAATGCAAATAATCCCATCCCTGGTCATCAAACTGATAATATGAGGAGCAGGGAAGGGACAATAAAAACCACTCCTCTCCTGATTGGTATAGATCAGGTGAGGAGGAAGGACTCTCTCTCTCTGTGTGCATGCCCATGTGCCTCCTGTGCATGTTTATGTGTGTGCGCATATGCATGTGAGAATGTAGGGTTGCCACACCTACACCTGGTTGCACTCACTCCTGGCATGCAGTCTCTGGAGGGTTGGCCAAGGGTGAATGTTGCCCTCAGGCCAAATAAGGTTAGTCACCAATGCCATAAAGCAATGGAAGAGACTTCTCTGCTGCTGCTACCACGACCCTAGTCCTGAGCCAATAACAGTAATTTCAAATGGAAGAGAAAAGGGGGAAAGTCTTTGTGAAAAAGAAAAAAAAGTATTTGCAACCACTTTCCCTTGTTCTCTCGTACAAGAGTGATAAAATTAACTAGACTTGCACGGCAGCAGCTTCCAGTCAATTCTATTTCCAATTTTTTATTTTTTTAAAGTATGAGCATGCCAGAGAGGGGGAGCTCACCCATGTTTTTTAAATGTTCTTAAAATGTGGAGACATTGCTCTTCTGTGCATGCATATTTAAGTATTAAACATGCATAAATACAGCAACTTTAAGAGTTGCGTATAGTGGATATTCATCCCCTGTGAATTTAAAAACTGCATCTTGAATCTGTGGGTGGTATTCAACTAAATTTTACTCAAAAGATGAATCATTGAAATTAATGAACATGACCAGGTTAGGTCCGTTAATTTCAGAGGGTCTACACTGGGTAAACCTTGGTTGATTAAAACCTCAGTACCAAGCTGCATGACTTAAAACATAAATATGAAAGTTGGTTTTTGTTAACGTTGGATGTTAAACATCTCCAGAATGTTCCAAACTTGTATAAAGCTGACACTGAAATGAGAGCCTCAGTGTGTGACTTAAGCTGAAAACATATACCCACTTACCCCATACAACTCCATGGGTCTTACATCCGAGTCTTCATGTATAGGATTTCACTGTTATTTTCTTGGATGAGCTCAAAGTAGTTACCCTAATCCAGTGTTGTTTCTAGGAACTCTAGGGTTCCCTCAATGAAAAGATTGGCAGGGGCAGATGAAATGCCTAAAAGATAGTCTGTCTACTGTTATCAATCTCCTCTTGCACTGACTAGCTGCAAAAGGGTATTGGACACATTCTAAACATAGCTGTCAAGTGTCCCTTATTTGAAGGGACAGTCCCTTATTCCAGTGCCATGTCCCGCTGCTGTCCCTTATTGATGGATGTCCCTTAAATGTCCCTTAAATGATGTCCCTTAAATTTCAAAGGAAGCAGCTCCTCTCCTTCCCTGCCGGCCAGGGAGGAGGGAGGCTCCAACTGTGTTGCTTGGCTGTGTTGCTCACCCAATAAGAAGTCTAAGAACGACTGGGAGGTGGAGCTTGCATGCCTTGTGTGTGGCTAGTTAATGCAAGCTGAGGGGTTTTTTGAATGCTGGACGCCATTTTGTTGCACGTGCTGCTGCAAACTTTGCAGTGCAAAGCCAGGCCGGGGAGCCATCTTAAGTTGAGGCTGCATAGGCCTTGTGGTGCATGTGATTCAGATTCTATTCAGTTGAACCTCTGGTTACAAAGTTGGTTGGATAGTGTTCTCGAAGCTACCAGCATGAGTTTGACCAGCCTGCAGGAGGACAGGAAGACTGGAGTGCCTGGAACAGGTGAGGCTGCAGGTCCCTTATTTTCAAGGCTGCTGGTCCCTTATTTTCAAATCTGTAAGTTGACAGCTATGATTCTAAATAGTACTTTCAATATGTAGATAGACAGACCTAAGGGTTTTTTTGTGTGACCATACTCACCAGTGGTACTCCTTTTTTTTGCTGCCCATGGAAGCCCCTTTGTGCTAGTGCCCACAGAAAAACTGATGTGGAAAGGTTTACCTGAAGGTAGAAGTTTTGAAATGTAGTGGTCTAGATTGGGAATATTTAGCAGGACAAAAACCACATGGCAGGACTTCAACCACATTAAAAACAGCCACCAGTGGCACTGGAGAACAGCGTGGCACTGGAGAAAACATACGCCTTTCTATGCTCATTTAAGAGTTTTAGAATATTTCATACAGCTTGAAAAATACATTGGTTTCCCTATGGTATTTCCAGGAGCATATTTTTTCATCACAGATACCACAACACAACCGTCACGTTCCCTTCAATCTGTCAGTTACCTGTCACACACACTGAATTATTTTCATCAAATGCAATTGCAGTGACGTTTGCACACAGAAGAAGACTATTACATTATAACCATCGCACAAATGAACCAGGCACATTCAGGTACCCTAACACACAAACAAATATTCCTATGTATCAGGGCTGGTGGCCTGGAGGCAAGTAGGTAAACTGGGATGGGCAGTCCAAGACCAATTTAGTCTGTATCCAAGGGGAAAGATGCTCATAAAGGGGAGTCAGACCAGAGTCAACGGCAGTCAGTGTTACTTGACCTACTCTAAGCTGGTAGGTGCAATACTCCTCTTTGGCCATCTGCAGTGGTAGCACTGAACCACAGCAGAGGTAGGGCAGCAACTCCCTCTCCTGGCATGCAGGTCCTTCTGCTAGAGTCCCGGAGGCAAGATCCAGGGTTTCCTAAGTTTACAAGACCATGGAAATGTTGCTATGGCAAAAAACCCATCCCTGTATTGCACTCACTGGCATGATGACTCCTTGTGTTCCACAGTATCTGATCTCACTCGCTTTCCTTACCCTTACCTGCTGGAGACAGGATATGCCCAAGGGCATGTATTTAAACATGATCTCATTCATATCCAACGTGAATATACTTAAGCCACTTGAGAGAGCAACATAAAAATAACGTGAGATATATAGTCATATACCCTTTGCCTCTAACACTTGTCTGCAAAATGCTTATCATATGGGATAATTAAGAAAAAACATGTGATAAGAATGTGATAAATGGTTGGCAGAGGCTGTCGTTTTAATATATGACACAATAATCGGGCTTCAGATCTATATCTAGCTTTCAGCCATGAAATGTAAAATACTGCCTGCTGTTTCCTAATGCTATTTGCTTTTCCTTGTTTTGTTGGTATGCTCCTCTTCTTCCTCCCCCCCACCCCCCGTTCTTGGTCCGCCACTCCCTTTAAAGCAAAAAAACCCAGAATGCAGAGGTGGTACTGAAGTTGTAGCAATATAGACTTCCCCAGAGCAAGTTTAGGCAGACGTAGGAGCCACACCTTGGTATAAAGACTCAAACCATGACAATGAAGACCCAGCATCACTCATCTCATCAAGTTAGGGCAAAGAACTGGAAATGGAGCCCATTTGAGTGTTGCAACTTGCTTTTTTGCTGTTAGCAACTCCGTCTAAAGTTCAGGAGCTAATTTATAGCCAAGTAGCAGGACAAGGAAAAGAGAAAGAAGAGAACATGTGGCTCAGTACAGGATTATATCCAGAGCCAGGTTTGCTTGGTACAGATTTTTGGAGGCCAAAGCAATGTGTGTGGATAGGAGGAGTTTTTGTCTTAAAGTTTGCAGGTTCGCCTTTTCAGGCTCCCTGTACAACATGGGGCTATAGCTGAAACAATCTGCTCCACAAAACTGTGCCAAAGAACATGCTCCTGAAGTGTGAATATTTGAGATTTGAGTATTCATTGAATGTTTTTTGTCAAGCATTTGACATCAGAAGATGCAGTGGCAGTCGGTAATTGACATTGCCCTGACAGGCAGAATGCAGTGGCTTTTAGTACAGTATACTTTCTAGAAGAAAACAGCCAGCATTTGATAGCTGGGATGTAAAAGGATTCAGTACTGGACAGTCTCTGGCATGTAGAAGTCAGTATTTGATAACCTTTGACAGCTGACGTACATTAGTAATCAAGATTCGACAGTATCTGACAGCCAACATGCAGTAAACAACAACATTTGACAGTATCAGACATGTAGCAATCAACATTTGATAGTATCTGACAGCTGGCATGCAGTGGGCGTCAATAATTGACAGGACCTGATAGATGAATTGAAGAACCATTTATTTCATTTTGTATTAACTTCCTTTCGTACGAACGAGTATTACCATCACTAATGAGATCACTGTGTCTATTGGGGTTTCACAAAATCTATTTGGGATGTCAGACTGTAATCTCATATGGATTTTCAAGCCTCAAATTCAGAAAGTCACAAAACTGTATTTAATTATGCACCGGTTTTAACTTCTGTCTTCCCCGTCCCAAAAGTCTAATGCAAGTGATATAATATTAGCAATAACAATTAAACTACAAAGAAGTGCAATATAGTAACTTAAAATAATACCCGACTACTTAAACTTAACCACCAAATGGCAGTACCAGTGGATCTTTGAGCTTTTGCAAACTTCCAGCTTAAATGATTTTGCACTGCAGTAGCCACCAAAAACAACTGTGTGTACATGATCTTTCAACCTGAACATGGCATACAGGTGGGATTAGTAAACATAGGAACATAGAGTAGAAAAATGGTATTTATAGGGCTGAAGCCATATATACAGCTCTGTCAGAAGTAGACTCTTGCCATGCCAGCCAGATCCCATCTGGTTTATGCTTTGTTCTGTTCTACACCTCCTCTCTCGCGGACCTGCTAGCAGTAGCACCAACAAATACAAGATGGGAGTTGGACCATTATTTTGTTCTGAATATACCTGGTATTTTTTAAGAATGCTACTCGACAGCTAGTTAGTTCTACTATGGTCCATTTTCAAAGCTGGCGGGCGAAAGAGCTAATCGCTTCCCCTGATGGGCTGTTGACAAACACAGGTTCCTCATCTCTTCCCATCTAGAATAAGGGGTAAATAAAGGAAAAGACTGGAGCACAATCTCTTTGGATTGCATCAACAACAGGAAGGTTTCTTCCCTTGCCTACTTCTCAATGGCTCTCCCCACCCCACACCTCAAAGTATTTCAAGCTACATAAAGGTGACAGAGAAAGGGCCTTGGTATCTGGAGAAGCTGGATGACATTTCCTTGGGGTGGGAGGTTTGCCAATAACCAACCTCTGTGCAGATATTCAAGTTCCATGTATTATTTTATTTCACCAGATACTGTAAAAACCTTTCCAAAGGAAAGGTTGATGGCGATTGATGGAAGAAAGAAACCAAAAAGCAGTTTTAAATAACATGATGCCTTCCCCCTCAGGTTTTACCTTTCCAATCCTTTTGTATCTGATCATGTTCATTATGCAATTATGTCACTCTGACATGCACTGCAAGTCTGTACTGGGTTCCATTCCAGCATTGACCTATTACACTACCAAACAATTTGTTGAAATACCTAACAGACACCAAATTTAAAGTTTGCTTTTAAGGAATGCTGTGGGTTGGAATTTCATTCCTGGACGAACAATGCAGGGCCGGAACCAAGAGGCGAAGAGGGCCCTGACATGTACTGTTGCCAGTTTATTTAGCCTGAGTCATTCTTTGAGAGGAGGAATGCTAATGACTCAAGATTTCACTGATCCAAACTGGCATTGACACAGAGATTAAGAAAATAACAGCCTGAATGAGTGGGAAAGACATTAGAAAGGAGGAAGGAAACCTCACTTCCAGGGGTGGTCTCCGTGACAATTCGTATTACATCCTAAGCTTTCTACTGAGCAGAATGATTTTATTTTGCTTATCTCTATGGTGGAGATTCAATAATAACGAGGCAGTGCATCTTCCGCCTCAAGTTGATTATTTCCCATTGTGAGTCTAAATTCACCTGGGAGTCCTTTTATGGACTGAAATAAGTACAGTGGTACCTCGGGTTACAGACACTTCGGGTTACGCATTTTCAGGTTACGGACGTGCCAAAACCCGGAAGTACCGGAACGGGTTACTTCCGGGTTTCAGCACTCGCGCATGCGCAGAAGCACTAAACTGTGCTTTGCACATGCGCAGAAGCGCCAAATCGCATCCCACACGTGTGAAGACGCAGCGCTGCGGGTTGCGAACGTGCCTCCTTGGGTTGCCACTGGGATGCATCAGAGTTACGCATTGCCAAAAATAGCCTTCGTGTCGCCATAAAAAAAGGAAGAGATGTTACCAATTTACATAACATTTTCACATGGTGATTTAAATGTATGAGGCAAATTTAGAAATGGTTACTATAATATAATAATCTCACCACAGAGGGAAAGACATCAGGTGCTGGTGTGCCTTCTTGTTCTGCTGATCATATGAAATGAATGAAATGAAATTTATTACAGTCCCAGACCAGATTCACATACCATACTAAGCGAACATAAAACACAATAGAATTAAGTTTGAATTAACAATCAAATAGAAGGGACATGGGTGGCGCTGTGGGTTAAACCACAGAGCCTAGTACTTGCCGATTGGAAGGTCGGCGGTTTGAATCCCCCAACGGGGTGAGCTCCCATTGCTCGGTCCCTGCTCCTGCCAACCTAGCAGTTTGAAAGCATGTCAAAGTGCAAGTAGATAAATAGGTACCACTCCGGCAGGAAGGTAAACGGTGTTTCCGTGCGCTGCTCTGGTTCGTCAGAAGCGGCTTAGTCATGCTGGCCACATGACCTGGAAGCTGTACGCCGGCTCCCTCGGCCAATAAAGCGAGATGAGCACCGCAACCCCAGAGTCGGTCACGACTGGACCTAATGGTCAGAGGTCCCTTTACCTTTACTTAACAATCAAATATAATAATAAACAATACAAATATGACAGCTGTGAGAAATGTGGTTTAGGTCTCAGTCTCTAAAATATTATCTAGGGTTTGCGTCTGAGGCCTTTGTAATAGCACAGCTTGTTCCCTGAGTTTTACGGCAGCTGTGCAAAATTTGGCCACCCTTAGTGTGATCTCTGGATCCTTATCCTCTATCAAGGATTTTAAGCATTGAGGTTCAGACCCACTTGGAATTTTCTGTATAACAGGGGTGAGCGTATATCCTCATAAAAATGACATGAGAGCAAGACACGAGAGACGCTTTCCACCTCTATCAGGCTGCAGGGTCAGACTCACTCCACATACAGTTTACCCACGTATCTGCCCTGCAAGAAGGCAGATGGCAGCACGTTGGTTGATCATATGCTGCTCACTGTTGATAAAGGACTTCAGGGCTCCTTATCTCCATTTTATGGTTTCTTATATTTAAACCAGACTTGGGACTGGAAAGCCCTCAAACACAGGACACCTTCAAATAGAGGACAGTCCTTAGTAAAGCAGAATATGCTGCCACTTCATGCCTCCTGGCCTATTGTGAAATAGAACTCCCATTCACTCTGTGGCAGGGAAGGATGTCCCTATACATGTTTAGCAATATCCAGGCCTTAAGAAATGGGCCTCCTTGCTGCTGATCCCCTCCCCACTTTTTAGGATACGTTTGCTAGGGAACGGGTGGGACTTACAGTGAGGACTGTCTGTAGGACAGTAAGACTCCCAATATTTTTCTTTACAAAAGGCAGAGGACCTTCTCTGTTGTGGCACCCTCCCTATGGAATGCCCTTCCCATCAGATGTCAAGGAAATGAGGAACTATATGATTTTTAGAAGACATCTGAAGGCAGCCATGTATTGGGAGGTTTTTAATGTTTGATGTTTTAATTAGTTTTATATGTACTGTAAGCCACCCAGAGTGGCTGGGGAAACCCAGCCAGATGGGTGGGGTATAAATAATAATAATAATAATAATAATAATAATAATAATAATTACTACTACTACTATTTTGTGAGTAAAATGATAAGCAACTGTATGTACTTTATACCATAATGAAGTTTCATTTATGTTAACAGAATATGCACCTGCAGAACGCATTGAATACTTGTCTACCCATTAATTGATCAAGACAGCTCTGAAAATATTTGGTAGAATCTGGACATAAGCCAGTGTAGATCCACAAGAGAGCCCTAAATCCTGAAGCAGTAGATCAATCAGTTCCTCTTTTTTAAAGAAGTGGCACTGAGTTATTAATTGTTCTCTTTGTATTGGCATATGCTCATTCCACATTTAAGTTTTATGCTCAAGTGACTAAACAAATCCAGATGTACACATTTCAAGCTTGTGCTGTTTTGCTAGTTCCTTAAGTGGAATAATGGTGAAGGGATGTTTAAGAATGCAGATATCTTGTTCACAAAAGGGGAAAAAATCCTGATTATTGTTGATTGTAAGTTAAGGAGTTCTGCTGTTGACAATAATAGTTTCTGGAAACACCTCATCTTCTACATTACTTATGTAGATAATGGAATGATGTAAGAATCTTTACCGCTGCCAAAAATAATATTAAATCTGTGGATGTGCTAAAATTGGAAAAGATACATATTCTACAATGAAAAGTGCTGTAATAACAATAGCAAACATGATTGCTAGAAGAGATAGCGGTGAAATATATATTTTTTTTGCATGGTTATCCTGATCTTAGAATTTCTAAATCTTGAGTCCAGAGAATGAGGTTTTGAGCTAAATGGCAGAAAAATGCTTACTGACATGGCTCCCTTCCCCCTTCCCCTGCACATATTCCTTTTTACTGATTCTGAGCCTGCTGCAAGGAACTGGGACTTCCTGAACTTGTGGTGACCTGCCTGCTTTTTCTCCCTCCACAAAGAATGCCACACGTACACAGTGCACATGAATCTTGAATTTAATGCCTGCTGTTCTTTCAGCATGTAGTCCTTTTTCTTTCCGCTCCAGAATTCTGGAATAGAACCTCTTCCAAATCCAGACATTCTGCGCTAAATCAGAAGCACACAAAACAATATGGCGTGGTTCAATTAGGGCTGTGCCAAAAAAATCTCCTAATCCGCCCCCCTCCAACTATTCTCCATCAATTAATGGGAAACGAAACTGCATTCGAAAATTATCATAGGGGAGAGAATTGGGGGGGGGGGGTTTGAAATTCGCATGCCTTACTTTTGGGTTTTGGAAGGGTCCTTTCTTTCATTCTGCCAATTATGTTCCCAGTGGTCTGCACTCTGTAACCTTCACATGTGCCCGTGCTTAAAGACTATCATCAGGTGGCTTCTCCCATGGGGCTTTTTCAGATCGAGAATAATGAGCAGCCAAAGAAGCTTCAGAGTACTGGGGACATGTTTGCTACAAGGAAAACACACTCATCAACTCCAGGGCTGGCACAAGACAGTTGGGCACCTGAGGCGAACCACAAAATGGCACCCACCCCCCACCAAGGAAGGAGTGAGTGAAGTCCTGGCTGAGGATGTCAGGACCGGGGGCGAGATGGCGGGGTGAGAGCAGAAACTAGAGTCCAGAAGTCAGGGGCCCGAGGGTCAGGAAGCAGGGAGTCACAAAGTCAAGGGTCTGAGGGTCGAGAAGCAAGGAGTCACAAAGTCAAGGGTCCGAGGTATGAGAAGCAAGGAGTCAAGAAGCCGAGGTCCAAAGGTCAGAAAGCAAGAAGCCAAACACAGCAAGGCAGGAAATGAGTTGCTGTGGCAAAGAGCCGAAGGGAAATGCTAACCTTATATCCCTTCCCGGCTCTTGCCACCAGGTGCAGTGAGTTACTAAGTGGCCTCATCTGTGCGGCCGTGCCTTGCCTCTCCAGAACAAACTTAGGAAGGCCCCAGTCCTGCAAAGCCCTACTGGTCACAGGGCCTGGCTCCTGCACGCACTCCTGACACTACATTAGGAGCAAGAGGGAGGCGATCATCTCAACCTTACCTGACAGCTGAAGTGGGAATCAAAGGCTGTCAGAGGGGTGGTGGGCGGGCCTGCTCTGAATCATGCCGGGTGAGTGCAGACCCCAAGAGATGCCAGAGGGCAGCCCTTGCCGTTGCATCCCTAGGGATGGGAGGAGACTAGCTGCTCCCTCTGGAGCCCTCTGAGAGGTGCTGTAAAGGCAGTATGGGGAGGGGCTACTGAGGAGGCCACCGATCTGGTGTCCAAGGAGCATGCCACAGCAAGCAAATGTGTTCTTTGGAGGCCAGATCTGCTGCCCAAGGCAGTCGCCTCACCTTGCCTCATGGGTGGGCCACTCCTGTCTATGGCCACCTTAGCTCAACTCAAAACCCTGCACCTACCCAAATGCTAAAGAAATTCTCAAGTCCCCTGGGAATAAGGGGCAGAAAAATAGAAGCCTCTTTCACAGAGGAAGCAAACATCCAACAAAGGGGAGGCCAGATTTTGACAGCACCACCTCAATGTACCAGATGCTATGGTGGGTGTGGGGGAATAAGAAAACACATGCACACACACAAAAACACACAAACACAGAGGATGAGTATCACTTTCGTGTCTGGCTTGGGAGCTTCCAGATGTATCTGCTTGCCTGATGTTAATAACACAATTGCTGACCTAGATGGGACTTTCAATCTAACCCAGCCAAGCCATTCTGATGTGATCTTAAAGTATTCCCCATATTAGAACAATCCACTCCATCGTTTTTGGTGGCCACTCAAGATCTTATTGGTCTCCTGTGCTGCTCGGCAAGGTAAACTGGAGAGAAGAACAGGATAGTGCTGTGTAAAAGAAATCCTATCCCTCTCTGTTTTGTATTATTTCTAAGGGAAACTATGCTCAGATTAAAATTGAAAAAGTCTCCCTCCCATTTATTATGTAAGGAAATGGTCAAGAGAACGAAGCAACTCCTTTCTGTGGAAACGTTGCAGTAT